TATTATTATGATACTTAGAGAAATATAAGTACCAAAGAACCATGATTATGTGCCATCACAATGGGTGAGATGTACTGAAAATGTAAATAACTAAATTGCCTTAGCTAATACAAATTCTGTCCCTCCTTAATTGTAAAATATTGTCTTCTACAATATGAACAGATAATTTCCCTGAAGTGGGTTATATTCAACGCAACCTCATTAAGGTATATGAAAGTGGATTCCACATTTTCTTAATGACACAGCATTGTTATTATAAACCTAAATCATGCCCCTGTGCCTTTGATGGGATGAAGGAACGGTCTGGCCAGGGTTGCTAAGGCCTCACCACTGGAGGACTGTCAGGTTCTGCTTGATGCTCGAGCTCTGGGAGGCAGGTGTGAGAGGCAGAAGTGAGTGGGTTTTCACTAGAGTCAGGGTGCCCCTGAGGCCATGGGGTCTAGAAGGCAGCTGTGATCATAGGGCCAAAGAGTCTGGCTAGACAAGAGTCCAACAGGTCCAGCTCCCAGAATGTGACACCTTCACACCCATTCCCTCTGTCCCTCCTGCCAATATAAGACATGTCTCTGTGTTTCTGGGTCTACAGATGTTGGTAAACATCAGGTGGTTAATCCCAATTGGTTAAGAAAAAGTATGTCACGGAGTCATGAACACATCATCATCATCATCATCATCATCATCATCACAACAACAACAACAATGATCATGAAGGCTGAAACTTATCAATTCTTAAGTACCACATTCTCTGCTAAGGCCACCAATGTGGTAATTTATTCTACAGAAGATCCATAGCCAAGTTGGCAGTGTTGTTGCTCCCATTTTAGAGAGCGGGAAAATGAGGTACAGAGATGCCAAGTAACTGTTATGAAGAAGTCACATGATTACTAAGTGTCAAAAGAAAGATTTCAATTCAGTTAGTCTAACTTCTGGGCCCTCTGCCTTAATCACTGTAAATAATTCTTGAAGTGTCAAGAGACACTACACAGAAGAGTTATTTGGTCTGCTACCTTGTAAAAACCATGGATTAAAAAAAAGAAAGAAAAAGAAAGCTAAGCAGGCACTATTATTATTAATTATTATGATTGAAGGATCCCTCAGAACCTTTAAGATGCTGCTGTGCTTTTGACTTGGTAAGAGAATATGGTCATAGTTTAGGGGGCTTTCCTTGGAGAAATCCCCCTTCCATATCCCCACCCTGAGAATCTTGTCTTGTACCACACCTTTTGAAGTGCTCAGAGCACTGTTTACATTCGTCCTAAAGGGCTGCACTGTGATAAGTACACATCATTTCTAAATGGGGTCAGGAAGATGCAGCATCTACACAGCAGGGTGCTTGGCAGAGACCCCGTGGAGTGCCCTCCCTTGGACTCCAAGCGCTGTGGGACCTGGTCTCGGCTGAGGGAAGACATGGCTTTTTCTGCTGGCTCTTCAGACAGCTGTGCTGCATGGCCACCTTTATGTTTCTGCTGCCCGGGGTCTGACCCCCAGACAGCTTGAGCTGATAGTGTTAGCAGCTCCTAGACTGCAATGACCTTCCTCAGAACCCTGACGGCCAGTCATCAGTGAGTACAGGTGGAGTATCCCTTATCCAAAATGCTTGGGATGGAAGTGTTTCTAACTTCAGATTTTTTTAAATTTTGGAATATTTGGTTTATACTTACAGATTGAGCATCCAAAATCTGAAATTCAAAAATCTGAAATCTGATTGAGCATTTCCTTTGAGCATCATATCGGCTCTCAAAAAGTTTCAGATTTTAGAGCATTTTAGATTTTGGATTCTCAGGTCAGAGATGCTCAGCTGGTACTAGTATTGGTGCTTCTGGGTACTTCTAAAAGTGCAATGTGTACTGATATAATTTAGGCCAAATTATTGCGATCATAAGGAAGAGAAATAAAATGTTTTGATTAAATGGTGCAAAGAAATTATATTTTTATTCCATAGTCATCTTTATGCAGTTTTTTAAGTATAATATTTTATTCACATACTCTAAATGAAAACTAAGTTGAGGCTAACAATTCATAGACGGACTTACGAGCGTGGTGAATGTACAGAGAACGTGAATGCTACCTACCTACCCCCAACTATCTCTGCACTGCAGTTGAGTGGGTGACATCCCTTTAGAGAGCAGAAGCTCAGGGCAAACTAGAGGCTACTGAAGAATGATTTTTCCATAATAATGGTAGTAATATGATTATTTGTTGTTAGTGTTAATAACACAGTTACTACTTATTGGCACATCACTGACGTTTTTTAACCATTGCCTTTAGACTTCCCAGCATCTCCAGATGATGGCTGTGAACCCATCAAGGCAGAGGTGGGCTCTGGGCCTGGGCTGTGTGGCTCTACTGTCCAGGCTGTGGCCCAGCCCTATATCCCACCCTTGACAGAAGGAGTTAGTGAACAACGCATAGGCCTTCTGAGCTAAGAGCTCACGTGAGCCCAAACTAGAGAGACTGGGCACTCACTGCAAAATCACCTCGTGCTAATGGGCCTGGATCCAGGGTCCCGCCTGGTTTCCCCCGAGTCTCCTTTACCAGTCTGAGTGCCCGTGAGCTGTGTCGGCTGCACCTACCCCCGTGTGCTTTCAGCCCATGTCCTGGGACCCCTACTGAGGCCTGTGTTATACATGTCCATTCAAAATAGCCAGCCGGGGAGACAAAACAATCACCACACAAAGCATTCAGGCTTCCCAAATCCACTTCGAAGGGGGGAAAAAAAGTAGTGGCAGCAGCAGTACAAAATTTTTTAATAATGGTGAGAATGCCTCATTTTGTAACATTTGCGTGGTGTTTTCACATTGATTTATAAACTATACTTATGCCATTGCCATTTCCAGATTTAAGAAGTCCCCAGGTGCATGTGAATGTGATGTTAAAGAAGAACCTTAAAATATTCTGACATCTTAGATTTCCATACATTCCATAAGCAACCATGGTTTGCAGTTATATATAAAAGTAGTTTCTAGGGCCTTCAATTCTCCTCTCTGCTTTTAGTAGCAGTTCAGAGCTTGGTGCAGGGGAGAGCATGTGCTGGAGACGGAGGATCAGGCTGTGTGGCCCAGCTGAGCTCTGCAGTGCTGAGATCCTCTCTGTGGGACACAGAGAATGAGGATGCTTCCTCTGAGCATGGGGATCCAGAGGGGATAAAACTAGGGTGCTGAACAAATCTGCACCCTGCGTTGGAGAGTTGGGCGGGAACCATGTGCAGAGTGGCATGGGCTCTGTCCCAGAGTGGCGTCCTGGCAGTGCTGGCTTGTCAGTCTTGCACTGCCTCCCAGCCTCAGTTATGTTTGTTTTTTGGGTTACTGGGGATGAAGGACTATGGTTAGGCTCTCTGCTTTGAAAGTCTGCTTTGTGAGGGAAGCCTTGACGTTGCAATGTGGAGGGAGCCGTTCTCTCCATTGTGTCCTGAAAGACACATTAAGCATCACATTTAGCGGCATTAGTTGCATGGGAAGAAAACAGCTGACCCTGTGAAGCTGCCTTGCTTCCTTGAGACTTCTTAATATTTCAGAAGTACAGTCTCCAAGAGAGCATGTCGGCTGCAGTAGTTACATCCCACCCACAAGTTGGGAGTGGCCCCTGCCTGTCCTGCAAATGTGGCTTAATTTAATAAGCTTGGGTCATGTCACCAACCAGCGGTGGCCCCTGGTCTGCATGTCTTCAAATGATTCACTGCAGAATCTTTGTATAACAGGAACTGTCTATTGCTAGGGGAGGGAGAATTACAAAATATGATTCTTACGTGGCTTTAGACTAAATCAAGCTCCATCGGGAAACAATGAGATCATTTATACAATACTATGTGAAAAGTTCAACATAATGACATTAAAAAAAAAAAAAAGACCTGGTCACTTGCCCCAGAGGATGGTGAGATTCTCTGTAATGAGTAAAATCATTAACCCTTGACTTGAGCAAACCCTTGACTAGAGCAAACCCTTGACTTAGCAGCTTGTATACAGACTCTTTCTTAGTGGAGGAGGGAAATTGCTCTGTGAAGTCATCTGCCCTCAGCAACGTCCCTCAACTATTCCTTTCTATTTGAGCTCAGGACTGGATCTCGTCATTAATAATTTGAAAAAGCATTGTCTCGTCCCTTTTGCTACCCATAAGCATCGTAGTGGGAATTACTTTCTCCTGACGGGCAGTCTCACTGAGCTCTCGCTCACAGCCCCAGACAATTGGTGCTTAATGTGAAATTCTGGGTTTATTTTCATTTCTCCAGTGTTCTTAAAGAGCACATTCTTCCTTGCTGCCCTGTATATCTCTGTGTCCACTCTGGGAATTCCATCCTCTGTACCAGCAAGGTGCAGCGGAGGGGATGCCCTGCACGCTCCCACTTCCTTGGAGCAAAGATGTCAGCTTTCCTGGCCCGGCGTGTGACATGCTGCCCAAATGACACATTGCATGCTCAGTAGTATTCAGTCGTCATCTCTGACTACTTCAGGCTGTTTGAGAAAACATGAAGACAGGAGAGAAAGGAAGACCAGTGTGGCAAAGCCTCAGCCTCTCACCACTCCGTTCTTTTCTAGGGATCACTACTGTGCTGACGATGACGACCATCAACACCCACCTCCGGGAGACCTTGCCCAAAATCCCCTATGTCAAAGCCATTGACATGTACCTGATGGGCTGCTTTGTCTTTGTGTTCCTGGCCCTTCTGGAGTACGCCTTTGTCAACTACATTTTCTTTGGAAGAGGCCCTCAAAGGCAGAAGAAGCTTGCGGAAAAGACAGCCAAGGCGAAGAACGACCGTTCAAAGAGTGAAAGCAACCGGGTAGGCCCCCCACCGCCTCGACCCTGCCTGGACCCTACAGCTCATCATCTTGTCCCCTTGCATGACTTTTGAGTGGGAGTTGTATGGGCTCGTTGATCGTGATCTGAAATACTTCCTGGTGCAAGTCACTGGGCTTCATATAAAACCAACATTAGTGCAGATGCAGGGGAAGCCAAAATCTTTTATAGTTTCCTACAAAGAGAACAGAGTGTTGTGGATGCTGGAATGAATGAAACTCAGAGGTGTGGGGCCTACGCTGGATGTACAGGAGCATTTGTCCAGAATGTTTCAATGTTATACTTGAAACATTGAAACTTGAAACATCTTATACTCATCTGTGTGGTCCTGTACCTAGTACAGAGCATTACAATGACATTACAATTTTAGTTGTAAAATTACCAATTTGGCAATCCAGCATGCCACCATTCTTTGCACTCTCGTCCACCCTCCATCCTCCCTCCGGCCACAGTCCCTGGGGGAAAGGAAGGGGCACAGGGAATGAGTAGGGCAGGCAGCAGACCTGCCCTTGTCCTGGCTCCTCCCGATGTGTTCTGCCGGAAGCCAGGGCTGGGCAGACCCGCGCTCGTGGATTAGGAAGCCCATGAGCCTCACTCTCTGAGTGTGCTCACCACACACCTCCTCCCGCCCAGCTCAGCAGCGGTGCCACGTCCTTCCAATCGCAGAGTCACTTTGTCTTTAGATGTCATTTCAGCTTAGTATTAACAAAAGCAGTACGTTACTGCAAGTATAAATAATATTTTAATGAAAGCACATTATAGTTTCAATATAATTTTAAAAATGTATCATTTCATCTCTTGTATCCCCTCAAATCCTCAAAAATATATTTCTACCTGTTTATATATTAGGCTTGTTCCTACACTTCTGGGTTTTTTTTTTTTTTTTTAATTCTTCTTGTTAAACTTACTTATTTCTCAAGCCTGTGGAAGTTTCCTTGCCCTTTCTGTCCACTCAGTGCCATCACGGGTCCACACCTTCTAGGGAGACTCACTAGCTCCTTGGAGCACTGCCTGTGCCCAGAGGCCCAGCGGTGGCCCAGAGGAGGGCCACAGACGTTGGTGAATGAATGGAAGCATGTTAAAATGAATGTAAATGGCTCCCTTCCTTTCAGCAAAACATAAATAGAGTTGGTCAGAAAAGCCCAGGATCTGTGAATAAAACCAGGCTTTCCACAGGCAAAATTATCTTGAATTTCTTACTGGAAAATATACTTAGTACCATACTGTTACGTTTCTAAATAGGTCCGCGTCCTACTAGGAATACACAATGTGCTTTGGTCATGCTGTTTCCAAGGAAACTAGAATTCATTACATCATTACTGTTTCCATCACAGAGGCACACGTACACACACATATTCATACAATGCTGTCTTCCCAAATTCCCTCTTAATTTATAAATTTGCTTCCTTTCTTCTAAATGAGACTATTTAGAATGGTCAAATGGTTGTGCTACAGAAATACCTTTTTGAGTGTGAAGCTGAAAATTTGAAACAAAAAAAAAACAGACAAAAAAACCTATGACATCCACAGAGAAAATTAGCAGAATGTAGAAAGAATATATTATAAATCATATACAGAAGAAATTTTCAGTTGATTCATAAGTCCATTTTTATTGTTTGTTTTTCTAAAAATTTGTTTCTCTGCTTTCTCAGCAATTTTGGTAAAGTCTTAACATGTTCCTATTTTTAAGAATCTGTAATGTAGATCAGTTCATAAAGGCAACATACAAATGCATGTATACTAATTTTAAATGCATTTTTGATGCTTTCAAAGATAAGCACTAGAAATTATTCCTGACTGCATCTGAGAATGTAGTGATAAATTATAAATAGGAATGAACCTCCCAAAAAGTTTATGTCAAGTGATGTGAATGCATTAAAGGGAAATGAGAAATGAGCCAAATTTTATGCACAACAGAAATGGCGCTATATACACGGGCCAGCAGCTCTGGCCAGCAGCTCTGTTCGTTGATTGCCAGCGATGACACTGATATTGTTTATCAGCATGGCCAAAAACAGCCTGCAGGTTTGCCCTGACTGACAGCTTCTGGCTCTACACAGGGACTTGGCTTGTCATTGTCTTTCCTGAGACCACTTTCTGTGTCCTGCAAGGCATGTCAGGGGAAGACAGAGCCCTTAGGGACACTGTAGGCAACTTATGGGGGATCTGTGCCACCAACATTTGCCTCTGGGGCTATGACTTTACTTATCCTAATGTAAAACCATGAATAGATTTTACTTATACTTAGTGGTTATGCAATATTTTAAGTTAGTAGTTGATTCATGAATGCTCAAAATGTTCCCATGTTCACTTAGTGTCTCCTCAGCCCAGTGGTATCGTGTAAGAGTTGACCTTAGTTTATTTGTGCATACATCTATTTGTTCCTGAGTTGTCTGTATACCCAAGAGTTTGTCTTTGGTTGCACTGCATTGCATTATGGTTTCAAGCCTTGTGATATTTTGCAAGTTGACCAATTGGTATTTGAATTTCATGAGGTGGCAGAAAGTCATAATTCTTAGCAAAAAAATCAGAGCTGAAGACTCAACCTCATTCTTACTAAAGAGCAAGATTTCATTCCTCACATGACAAATCCTTTCTCCTTCTCCTAAAACTAGAGTATTTCACCTAACTAGAAGCTAGAAGGTAATTAGAGAATGAGATTTCAACTGTGTGCCAATCTCGTGACATATTTTGGGAAAAAAACAAAAATCCTTCTGTGATATATTCTGAATGAGATGTTTTTAGTCTTGAATGTTTGCACCTGTCAAGGTTATAGAGCAGGAAGAAAAACTACATTGAAATCAATGATTCTAATTATAGTAGATATGAGACGAACCCTTCAAATAAGGAGTATTCATGAAATGATTTAAGAATTGCAAGTCACGTGTCATTCTATAGAGGGCATTTCAGCCTTGTATTTCACCTATAATCACTTCTTTCTATTTTAAGACTTAAATTCTAGATAATAAAAGGAGATTAGCATCTCTTTTGAAAATATTTGTTTAAAATATTTAGTTTCTAAGATTTAACAGATTTTAATAACCCTTTAGTTCTTTCAGGAAAAAAAATCTGCTTATAAGTTTGGCATAAATTTTCTACACATTGGTTTATGTTTAAATGAAAACGGAGTGAGTGGTGTTTGCCATGGCTTTGGTCCCACTGGACCACTGGTCCCACTGGGTCCCTCTGGTCCCACTGCTAAGATTAAAGGCATGAGCCGCTACGCCTGGCCAAAGGAGCTTTTAATATGTTATTCTTGATAACTAGAAAAGAGGTGGTATTTAAAAATGTATTTAAAGGGCAATATGTAATATTTTTTAAAACCCGTTACTGATTATTTAAACTGTCGCCTGCTAAACCCACGGAGAATCTTCTTATACTCATCTGTGTGGTCCTGTACCTAGTACAAAGCATTACAATGACATGTAGCTGGTGTACAGTAATGTCCTGCATGAATAATCTCACATAATTACAGATCTTTCATGCGCATGTCTCCAGTGAGGTGTCCCGCCTTCTGAAGTGGACGACTGGGCTTTTTTCATCTCACAGTTTTTTCTCTAAAACATTACATAGGCTGTAGAGAACATTTTTCTAGAGCTAAACAATGTTTCCTGTCTTTTCCTACCTTCAGGAAAATAATTCCAGTTTTCTGAGATTCTAATTAATATGTAATAAACCGATTATTATTATTGAAAAGAATAAATTCTACATCACTACTTTAAAAAAAAAAACCAAGCATCTGCCACTACCTTTGGTTATTGTCTGACTCAACTTCAGATAAATTTTAGTTTTAAACCCATAAGCTTACCATTAAGGTAAATGTATTTAAAATGTTGGACAGTGAAATAAAATCTAATGGCGGTGATTTGACAAATGGCCTCAATTTATTAAATTTCTGTAAGTGGTAACTGAATGTATTTTCTGTCATGATGCAAAATCAGCTGTCTGGTGGAGTATCACACACATTCCTCACAGTAAACTGAATTAACTGAACACACAGGATGAATAGGATCTTGCGACGCCCTCTCCAGGACACGTGTCACAGTGTGAGCTGAGCAGCGCACTGCCTCACTGCCCAGTTCTCTCCTTTGTGGCACAAGCACCGTGGCAAGCGCTGGTGAGAGGTGAAGGACAGTAGACGGGGTTCTGTCCTGGAGAATCTTGCTGTTAATTATTCTTGGTGCAAAGGCCAACTTGGCTATCAGTCGCACTCTCCCTGCTGCATTCAAATCACTCCCTTCTTAGGGAGATGAATGACTGCTCCCCGCGGGAGGATGTGGCCCCAGCGCCCCCACCGCTGGCCCCGGGTGGCCTGTGCAGTGGATGTGCTACTGCCAGGGGCATCTGTTTCAGCCACACCTGAATTCATCTGTGGGCTTCTCCTCCCACATTCCTCTTGGTGCAGTGAGAACTCAGTCTCCCAAACCATCGGGTGCTTCCGAAGTCCTGAAGACACAAAAACAGAGTTTGTCACTGGAAGGGCTTTGCTGCTGCTCATTCCAGGGAAAGATTTAAAAAAGGAAGCGATATAGGACAGAAGTTCCAAAATCTTATCAAGGTCCAACCTTGCAGGTCCGTTGGAGATACAAGCACCTTTACAGTTTTCCTTCCACTGGATAAAAAATAAGAAAATGGTAACTTTTTCCTGTTAATGCCCCTCTCCCCCTGCTTCACTCCTGTGATGTGTCTTGGAGAAAGGCCTTCTCCCCGGCACGGGTCATGATGTTACCTTGGTCCATTTCCAGCCCTGAGTGCCTCAGCCTGTCTGGCTTCCATCCTAAGGAGTCTGCTCCGTCCATGGAGATCCCCACGGTGACACTTCATTCTGTGGTTCAGAGGCAGCATCAGTTTAAAAAAACTGAGCTCCACCCGGGCTGATGACACACCTGTCACAGTATGGGTCCTCCTGCCCAGAGCTTGGGAAGGGGTGGGCGTCCATGGCCCCAGGTGGGATCCTACTGGCGAGCAACTCTACTCCTTCCCCACTCTCCGAACTGCAGAGATGCAGAGCCCTCCGGGCAGTGGCCAAGAGTTGCTGCAAGGCTTAGAGAAACCACTGAGGTTTGTTGCCGTGGCGTGGGGGAGCCGTTACTCCCAAGCTTTTGGCATTTCTCTTCCAGACTGCCCTAAAGGACACAGAGACCAGGGCAGTGTACTCTAACTAGGGTCCCTAATTCATTCTCGCCTCTCAAATTCAACTTTTACTCTTTATCCTGCAGCTTGAGCTGTGTTTCAGAGATCTGTCACTTTTCTACTTAGAAATCACTTTCCCTTCCGGTTACCTAAATGGTAAAGTTGAAATTTTTTAATGTGACATATGGAATACCTTGCCATCCTGAGTCTAATCCACATTCCCTTCCGATGCTAGGTGTACTTCTCTGTTATGACAAGAGGATATGAAAATGATGACAACGGTGATGATAATAACAGTGGCCCATCCATCTTGAGCTTAGAGCGTGCTGGGAACAGTGTTTACCTTTCTCAGAGCATGGCAGGGACTCTTCAAGCCTTTGTTATAATGTTTTTCCTGCTTTTTGCCTGAAAAATATCTACTCATTCTTTGAGGCCAAAGACAAATGTATCTTCCTCTCACCTCCTGTAGTAGTTTTGACTGCTGCTGTAACAGATTACTGCAAATTTAGTGGCTTAAAATAATATCCACTTTTTTAATCTCACAGTTCTGTAAGGTCTGTGGGTAGAGTGGGACATAGCTGGGTCCTTCTCTTAGGGTCTCACTAGGTTGAAGTCAAGGTATTGGCGGTCTGTGTTCCTCTCCAGAGGTGCTGGGGATATGTGTGCTCCCAGGTTCATTCAGGTGGCAGCCAAATACAGTTCCTTGTGGCTGTAGGACTGAGGTCTGCATTGCCTTTGGCTGTCAGCTGGGGCCAGTCTCTGTTCCTCTTGCGTGTCCTACACCTTCTTATGTTTTCCTGGCAGCCCTGTCCATCAAGGGCAAATTGAGTCCTTCTCAGGCTTTGAATCTCTCTGACTCTCTCCTCTGTTTCCAGCTGGAGAAATTTCTCTACTTTTGAAGGCTCGTGTGATTATATTGGGCCCACTCAGAAAATCTAGGATAATCTCCCTATCTCAAGGGCTATAACCTTAATGATTTCTACAAAGTCCCTTTGCATGTAGGGTAACATGCTCACAGGTTCTGGTGAGTAAGGTGTGACCTCTTTTGGGGCCATTATCCTGGCGACCACACCTTACCTTCCCCAAGCATAATTAAGTGACTTTGAATGGCATTGCCAAACCATGGTGTAGACATCTCAGAGTCTTCTTTGGTGCCTTTGTGCCCAAGCCCTAGTGGCCCTTGGATATTTGTAGCCCTTCCTGTGGCCCAGCCACCTTGGTGCATGGGGGCCATCCCACCTGGGGTCCTAGCCCCGCGCAGTCAGAACTCCTCTCTCCCCACCTCACCTCCTGCTCATCTAGCCGAATGCCTTTACTGAAATGATAGAGTACATAGCAGATGAGAAGACACAAATTAACATAGCAAAACATTATTCTTCCATAAAATAACTAGTTTTGTGAAAGTGTTGTGGGGGAAGCCACAGACACTTAATCTAGTGCTAGAAAAAGGGGTAGGCTTTCCACAGACAAAGAAAGGACAGAGGAGATGGTCCTCTGGGCAAAGGGATGCAAGAGAGATGGGGACGTGTGGGTCTGCTGGAGCGAGTGCCCGGGGACTGCGGAGTGTGTGGTGGGGCCGTGGCAGGGATGGGTACTGCTCAGAGGGGGGAAGCTACAGACTCAGCCCGGAAAGGACTGTGCAGGGACCACAGCCCCAGGATGTGCTGTTGAAGGTTGAAAGTTCCATGGCAGACCAACCAACCAACAAATGGACCATTGACATCATGAAAGGTCTGAAGCTGTGGTTAGCACAGAATAAAATGTTATCATTTTAAAGTTTGGCTCCCCTGTGGGAAGGACTAATATAGCCTTTAAAGAAGAGGCCTCGGCCGGGCGTGGTGGCTCACGCCTGTAATCCTAGCACTCTGGGAGGCCGAGGTGGGCGGATTGTTTGAGCTCGGGAGTTTGAGACCAACCTGAGCAAGAGCGAGACCCCGTCTCTACTAAAACTAGAAAGAAATTAATTAGACAACTAAAAATATATAGAAAAAATTAGCTGGGCATGGTGGCGCATGCCTGTAGTCCCAGCTACTTGGGAGGCTGAGGCAGGAGGATCGCTTGAGCCCAGGAGTTTGAGGTTGCTGTGAGCTAGGCTGACGCCACGGCACTCACTCTAGCCCGGGCAAAAGAGTGAGACTCTGTCTCAAAAAAAAAAAAAGAAGAGGCCTCTTTCCAGGACCAGGGTGGGGTGAGGGGATCCTACTTGGGTTGGGGGATCTGTATCTACTCCACGGAGTCATTGGGAGTGTCCTTCAGTCACAGAACTATCCACAGTAATTTGGATATTTTATATTATGGGAAAAGGGGATGCGCTGACTTCCAAAGAAAAAGGCGAGAACATAGTTTCTATCCACGGTGTAGTTGTGGAAAAAAATGGTTATAACACCAACGTTAACATTATGAAAGTCATTTTTATGTTAATTTTCCCTTCAGGAAGAACTTGTATCCATAATGTGAAATTTCAATTCGAAAAATCCCTGCCCCCTCATTATACCCAATCTTCCATGTGAACATTTTTAAATCAAGGAAATAAAATCTCTAAACTGCAATTAATCTCCAAAATGACAGTTTTCAATAGAAGGGAGTGCTGGATTTGACAGGTGTACAGTTTCTCCTGAAACATGTGACATGATTGCATGCCGTCACTTTGCCCAGGGTTTGCAGATGAAGATTAGGTTCATTGGTGTGCTAGCTGTCTAAAGGTGTGCGTTTTCCTTCCAACCAGGTGGATGCACATGGGAATATTCTGTTAACGTCACTGGAGGTTCACAATGAAATGAATGAGGTGGCAGGCGGCGTTGGCGATACGAGGAATTCAGCAATATCCTTTGACAACTCAGGAATCCAGTACAGGAAACAGAGCATGCCTAGGGAAGGGCATGGGCGATTCACGGGGGACAGAAGCATCCCACACAAGAAGACCCATCTACGGAGGAGGTCTTCGCAGCTCAAAATTAAAATCCCTGATCTAACCGATGTGAATGCCATAGACAGATGGTCTCGGATCGTGTTTCCATTCACTTTTTCTCTTTTCAACTTAGTTTACTGGCTGTACTATGTTAACTGAGTGACTGTACTTGATTTTTCAAAGACTTCATTTAACACTGAGTGAAATATTACTCTGCCTGTCAAGTTTTTATACCTGTACACACACAAACACACACACGCAGACACACACATATATACATACGCAATTGTATATATATGTGAACTTTCTCAGCATATATATAAAATACACGTGTATATGAGGATGTATGTGTATATGTTTATACACACAGGTTGTGAGTACCCATGTGTATATAAAACACATACACATACATATATACATTTTGCAGCTATGGACAATTTAACACAGGATGCATATTAAAGAAAGAGTTTTTTCTTTTTTAATTGAAAGGGACAAGTATCATCTAAATATTATGCCTTGAGAATGAGGGCGTGAAACACAATATCATCCCAAAATGTGTCTTTTATTATCATTAAGTTAGATGTTTTAGTTTAAAAATCAGAAAGACATTCTTAGTTAATCTTTGAAAACTCATACAGTGGTATTACTAGTTGAAAATGGGTCACATACTTCATATCCTCTCTTTGAGTTTAGTGAGCAAAGGCATTTTGGCTGCGCTGGTGATGGGCTTTGTTTTCATCAGGCATACTTTTCCTGGAACGCATTAGGGGCGAGGTGAGTCGCCGGCAGTGCACTTACCTGCTGTCTTAAACGTAGGTAGATCCCACATTGATGCCTGAATGACCATCTTTGAAAACCCATCAGGAATGAATGGCATCTCAGTGTAAGTACTCTAATATACAGTGTGTGTTTTTGTTGTTCATTTGGAGTGGATCCAGCTTAACTGTCATGTGGAAACACAGTGGCACGTTTTGGCAATGACATTTCAATCACCGAAAATGTGCTCTACATCTCGTACGGATTTCTAGGCCTGATATCTAACAGAAAGCATAGACGTCTCAGGTTATTTGTTACTCTAAGGTAAAACCATCTAGGATGATTTTCCCCCTTGCAGTTATGTTATCAATCATTCTTATAACATTGTATGTTAATAGAAAATATATTTGCATAATATGCATATATATGTATATTTACCAAGATTTTGTTTCTTATGCTTGCTACCATGGCAGCATGCGATGTCGGATTTTCCTTTCTGTGATGTTACTACTTTCTGTTATCTAGAAATTAAGATTGAAGCTAAAACACTTCTATTGTTCAATTTCAGAAACTAAAAAACATCCTCATGCCTTTATTTCTGTATCTGACATATTTCATAAGCACATCCAACTACTCCTAGACTGACTAGGATTCTGCAGGAACACAACCCGTACACACCACGCATCACCCCACAACCCATGACCGTTCTCTGAGGCAAAGGAAGGCAACCCGACAACACACACAGTCGCTTTGGGTTCCTTCTGATCCACAGCCTCATCAGTATTTGGACTTTTTAAAGCTCGTAGAAACAAGACAAGGTGCACCGGTTTCATAGACGCAACCTTAACTTACTATTTAGATGAGATCTTTCTAAAGAAAACAAAGAGATGATATATTTTTTGTAAACAATATTTCTATCACAGGCATCCATAAACCGAAATGACTACAGTTGTGCAAACAGGTGTCACAGTGAAGTTGAGCATTTGGAGAAAAAAATAAAAAGCAAAATATGCAGGCAGAACTGCGAAATTAAGACTTTATCCCAAAATGCTGCATATGCCTCTGCCCCTCTGTTCTATCCAAAACTAGTGACAGGAGTCTGCCCACCACTCTCATGGCTGGCACCAGTTTTCCACATAGGTAGAGGACCACCCTCCCCGAGGGTGCATGTGGTGTGGACTGTCACCATGAGCTGACCACTACTTGATCTTTCTTTGGTGGCCATAACAACCTTTAGTTCATGGACATCTGTAACAGTTCAAAACCCGCCATCAGATAAAACATAATCCACAAAATCTCATGCTAGAGGAAATTATTAATTTTTGTACCCTTCCCTTCCTTCATTCCTATCTTTCTCCAACGTCTTCTCTCAGCGTCTTCTCAGCCGCTGCTCTCTCGTTTTGTTTTTATCTGGAGACTAAGCCAGTGATTTTTTTTTTTGTCTTTGGCTTTTCTCTGACAAATATTTTTCATGGGTAACAAGGGGGGGATCCTAAAAGTTAAACAGCTTGGGAAAAACCTTGTAAGTGGCCTTATCATTGTTAACATGTTAAAGAAAAAAAGACATTTGCAAAGACCTTATCCCTTTCAATACTTCAGGTATCTTTTTCTGTATCCGGTAATTCAAGGTGTGAGTTCCACATGCAGAAGAGGGACCCCAAAATGCAAATGATCATGGAAAAAAAGCAGTCAATGGTCTATTAAGTATATAATTTATACTATTCAGAGCTGTGACATTAATTCTTTCTGGGAGAAAAGTGATCTAAAACTTTTCAATGCATAGTTGAGGTACCCAAATATCAAAGGCAGAGACCCCATGGGGCTCAGAAGAGCTGCAGTCTACTTCCCAAGGTTTTCTGGATATAAATTTGCATGGTATAGTCATAATAGCTTTTGAGCTTTTTATATGCATTTGGCACCAAGACTGGGATCCACAACTTTGTAGACACTGCGATGAAGTTAACATAATAGCTATACTATAAATAGTGTTTGTAACTACACACACACACACACACACACACACACACATACACACACAAATACATACATATATTCTGTAAAAAAGAAAAACTTTTTAAGATCCTTGGGTATGTGTTTGCTTTACTCCATTTCAGAAGAAAATTACTTTTCTTCTAATAAAATTATTTTATAGCTTCTCCATTTTTAAAAGTTATGAGAAGTATTGAGAAGAGAACTCTGTGCTAACAGAAGAGAGTTGAATGTGATTCTCTGTTCTGTTAAAATGATCTCTCATCACTTCACAGTAGCTATTCGAGCCAGTGAGTGAGCCTTGCTGAGGAATCCTAACCTGAACCTGTGACATTATTACGAGGTGGCTGTTACCTGCACCCTGACCTCTCGAGTAAGCAGAGAAGAGTTTAATTGGAAATATGATGAGATTTCTTTCTCAACAACTGAAAGTAATAAAAAGTTCATTTTTCTAAGTAGTTCTGTCTTTCCAAAATGCTTCATGGGGGCTCAAACTGTACAGAAGAATTTTATTATGACAGTTTGTTATTACCCGGGTTCAGATATGCTTGAGACAATTCAAGAGCCCTAGTACATAACTCCCTACAGAGAAGGACTGATAAAATTTGAGCAGTCTTTAAAACAAGTGATATTCTTCCTATTCACCAACCCCAGGACTGTAGAGGGGTTTCACTGTCTATACCATGACACATTCGTTTCTCCTTGAATCTCAAATGAACTAGAAAGTACGTCTTGATAATATTCCCTTTAAGTTTGAAGGTCCGTGTACATCTGCAATATCATGTGTTTTTAATGCCAGCACCCAGAACTTTGACATGTTCACCCACTCCCATCAAAAGCATTTTTCTTCTGTCCACGCATGGAATTGACATTCTTACCAAGGAGATCATCTCGAGAGTGATGCCCAACAAGTTTGGGATTGGTCCTCAGGGGGACAGGCACATTGCACTTGTAGATGTTCATTTCCAAAATCGAGTAGCTAATTAATCCCTTGGTGTTTGTCCCACAACAGTGTGTTCTAAAAAGAGAATGTGTCCACTTTTGACTCTCCTGGCTTGAAAGTATAAACCATTCCATAATTCTCACTTTAACTCTCCACCTGAAAACCAGTTCATATTCCTGGCCATCTTATGTAAGCAAAACTAAACAATTGGTGACACGTTTTGTTACTCTTGGAATGAACTCTGGCTCTCATCTTAGTGTGAGCCATCAGTCAGAGTAACATTGACTCTTGGGGCAAAGACCTGCCCAGGTGGATTAAATTCTTCCAGGGCACTAGCTGGTGTGCCTTGGATTGATTACCTCTCCTACTGAATTGAAAGGTGCCATGTTTTCCTGAAATACTAAATTCCCAGCACCTGGGTAAACAGTGACCTCCCAGAGAGTGGCTCACACGTGCCTCTCCCTAGGACCCGCCCCGTGAACATGTCTTGTCATTCTCGTCTCATGTTTCTACTTCACAAGTCAGTGAGTGTGTTTGAGGTAAGTACAGGATAATTCTAGTAGGAATAGGCGATCGCTGTCATGAACAATTCCCATGTTGATTTCATTTTATTGTAAAGATAAATTTAAACTCAGTTTTGCTTAAGCACATTGATGTAATTTTTTGGTATTATTTGACATGAAAAAAACAGCAAAATTGAGTGATAGATACAATATGAAACTTGTTGATGAATGGATTCAAATTTATTAAAAAAGGACTAACTGACTTAAATGTGAAGACTGATTTTTTCCTCTTCCTTGGCTATCTATTGTTAAAATGGTGTGGTCATTTTAATTTTTAGTAGTACACGCCTGTTTAGGTTGTGCTGAAAGTAAAAAGAAATAAGCCCCAAACTGACTACATGTGAGACCAATTGAACTATGACTTTTTTATTAAAAAATCACAATTTACCCTGCACTTCAAAGGACAACGGGACAGAGCTCTAACTTATCCCTGTCTTTAAATAAGTATTTTAAGAAAGAAATATTTTTATATTAAAGGCCAGGGAGCCAGCCTGCAAGCAAGCTCGAGTCAAGGTGGTATTGATCCTTATCTTTAGTTCGTAAGTACTATAAGGCAATTTCTCATTTCTTCTCCAGTGAAAAGTACCAAGCAATGTCTCAGAATGAATGACTGAATTCAGATATTGGACACCTCCAACCAGACAGAGCTTTGATTGAGAAATATATCTCTAGGCTTCCAGAGAAGCTGTTGGCTCACCTGCAAACACCACAACAGTGGCTATAAGTTTTACAAAATGCCCTCAGCTAGTTAGTGTTTAATTTTGGGTTTGCCTCCAAATCACTCTAAGCAAAATAATGCAAATTATTCAGTAATTCTTTACAGGTCCTGCTTTTATTCTTTTTTTTTTCTTCTTTTTTTTTTACAATTCTGGTCTACTTTAGAAACCTGTCTTGGACACATTCCACACTAATTCTTTGCCTAAGGCTAGAACTTCACTATGGGGACATTTCTCACCTATTCATTAGACTAAAACACTATCCAGCCTGTGTGACAAGTTTAAATTACCCATAACTGTGGAAGAAAGAATTTTAAAAATCTAACTGAATTTCTTAAAGCCTCTTCTACAAAGCATCCTGCTTTTGATTGACCAAGGAAGCCTCACTGAATGTGGGGTCCAGGTATACCCAGAGAGTCTCTGGCCAGTCCACCCACTCCTGGCCCATGGCTGCCCTGTCCACGTCCACGGGTGACACCATTTTGCAATTCTTGATCTAACTACATCAAAAAAGCCTGACTCTTTGGAACCTGTGATAACATTTTTAAGGTAGGGTATTTAGCTTCTCGTAGGCCTAAACCAGCAATGGCTATTGATTGAGGCAGTCCTGCCATTAGAGAGACTGGCACTCTGTGGCTCTTGCTTTTTACGTAAACAGGCTCCAGTTAGAATCAGCAGGCAAGCAGTGTAGGGGGAACTTGCAAGTCAAATGCAATTCACTCAGATGGCAGACTGCAGCATGGTGGGTGTGGATGTGGGCTTGGGCATGTGTATCTTGAAACAAAATAGTAAACTAATTAGTGGCTCACAGCCAGATGATTGTAAGAAAATGTCTTCATGACTTACATCTCCATTTCTTATCTCACTAGGTATAGGCACTTGTCTCTTGACTCTGCATGTTTTAGATAAAGATATTCACACCACTATTCTACCTTGCATTTTTTCTCCTGCCACCTCCCATCTTCTGTTAGTGGTAACTATAATTTTTCAAGGTTCAAAGCATTTACACTCTGCCTATAATCATCAAATTGTATGTTAGCATTTGATATTGTTTACAGATTGATCCTAAAAACAGAAAACTAAGAACGACCCACATTATTGAGCTGTATGATGTAAGTATGGTTCAAGGTTTAGTATTTTGTTTGAATGTATAAAGATAAACGTCAGAAGAAAAAAATAGAAATGTTGTAGTTTCTTTGCCTGACAAGTGAGATCAGTTGATGACGTGTGAGAAAGGAGATGTCCTGTCGGCAGTTATTGCATCATTGAGCTTGAAAGCTTTTACAGTTGACACCCTAACCGCACTTCAGCCTTGAGGATTTTACCTATAAATTAACCCTGAAAGTTAAAAACAAATCAACAACGTTGGTGTTACTATGACTATATAACTATTATTCAAAGCAGAACTAAGCGGTTTGCTTGGGTTTCTTTCCAACCTTTAGTGTCTCAGTGTCTCAACTTTGGGTTATTTGAAGAAAAATATTTGTAAGGTTCAGGTCAAATGAGTTACTTTTCTTACATTCTTTCAGTTGATCACCCACGTAAGGTTTATGTTTGCATCAGGACTTTCTTAGGTTTAATTTCTCCCCAACACCTGCAAATACCCATTCTGGGATTTCTAATTTGTATTCTTTTTTTATTCATTAGGAAAAAATGATATGCTTTCTTGACTATGTGCTTAATGTTATACACTTTAGTCATTCAATTTATTGTTGGGAATATTTTCCTTTTTCTTCATGAAGGTAATCTTCTTGGCATTGACTGACTTCCTGCACAAATTAGGACTTCTGCAAAACTGATCCTAGGATTTATTTCCACTGGACTCCCAAATTAGTTCCACGATTTTCTTTTAATAGCCCATGTTTTCCCTTTCCTGGCCTTATCCCTCATTTTGCCTCAGTTCATCTTCAGTTAATGTCCCAGGAATGGTATAAGTGACAGAAGTTTCTGAGGCTTTGTGCATGTCTGAATTCTTTCCTTGGTCCTTAATGTTTAATTGGTAGTTAGCTAGGTGTTGACCTGTGTGTTGAAAAGTAATTTCCCTAGAACTTTGAAATCATTGTACTATTGTATTTTTCATCCAGTGACGCTGATAACAAGTTTGATGTCAGATGATCTTATTTACGTATAGGTCACTCACCCCCAACTCCTCACTTTCCCACCCCCATCCCCACTCAACTGACCTTGGTGCAATGATGTTTTTCTGATAATTCATGAAGGTGAATTTGGTGTGAATCTTTTTGTTTGTTTGTTTGTGGTGTTGGATCCTGGGTGAATCTTTCCATCTAAAGATCTGTATCTCTTAACTCTAAACACTTTTCTTCTATTATTTTCCAGAAAATATCCTCTGCCTTTTTTCATGTACTCCCACTAGTCAGATTTTGCACTGAATGGTTTGATCCTTAATATATAATCTTTCTCAGTTTTTTTGTCTGTTATCCATATGTCCTGGGAGATTGTTTTTATCTTTTAATAATTCTATTTCATTTTATAAATGGCATTTTCATTTTTGAGTTATAAATGACATACAAAAATTTCACATACTTAAAGTCTACAATTTAATATGGTGAAACCATCATCACAAGCAAAATAGAGGACAAATTCATCTCCCCCAAAAAATTTACTTATGCCACTTTGTAATATCTCCACCCTACTGTAAGACTCCCAATCCTGTCTCCAAGCAGCAATTAATGTGCTTCAACAACTGATGCACTAGAGATAAGTTTTCATTTTCTAAAATCTTATATAAATGTAATAAAATAGTATGTACTCTGTTTACTCTTTCACTCAGCATAGTTATGTTGAGATCCTTCCATATGGTGTGTATCAGTAGCTCACTACATTTTATTGCTGAGTATTCCATTGTATGGATATACCAAAATTTGCTTATCCATTCACCTGTTGATAGACATTTGGATTGTTTCTACCTTTGGACTCTACATATAAAGCTGCAATGAACATCCATGTACAAGTCTTTGCATACTCCTATGCTTTCATTTTTCTTTGGTAAATACCTAAGAGTAGATCTTAATGGTGGTATATGTTTAACTTTTTATGAAACTACCAAACTGGTTTCCAAAGTGATTTCACCATTGTACATTTTACCAGTTGTGTATGATAATTCCAATTCCTCTACATATTCTCCAACACTTGGTATGGTCAGTCTTTTTAATTTTAGCTATTCTAAGAGTTGTATAGTAGTGTATTTCTTTTTGATTTTAATTTGCATTTTCTTATTGACTAATGTTGAGCATCTTTCCTTGTATTTATTTCTCATCTGTTTTTCTTCATTAATAAAGGTTTAAATCTTCTGTCCATTTTTTAATTGATTTGTTTCTTATTGTATTTTGAGAGTTCTTTGTATATTTTGGATACAAGTCCTTTATAAGATATATGCTTTATAACTTTTTTCTCCTAGTCCATGGCTTTTCATTAACAGTTTTTCAGAGAGCATAAATTTTTAATTCTGATGAAGCCCAATTTGTCGATTTTTCTTTTATTTATCATACATTTGGTATTATATCTAAGAAATCTTTGCCTAACCAAAGGTCCCAAAGATTTTTCTTATGTTCTCTCCAGGAAATTTTATAGTTTTAGGTATTACATTTAGACTTAAGATACGTTTTGAGTTAACTTTTGCATATGGTTTGAGATATTAATATAAACGAAAGTTCATTTGCTACATATGCATAGCCAATTATTAAACACCATTTGTTTAAAACAAACAAACAAAAAACTATTCTTTCCCCACTGAATTGCCTTTCAATCTATGTGGATCCATATCTAGACTATCTTGTTCCATTTGGCTATGTTGAGATCAATACCACACTGTCTTAACCACTGTAGTTATTTTTTATACTAAGGCTTAAAATCATGTAGTGTTAGTTTACCCAATTTATTATTCTTTTTCAAAATTGTTTCAGCTATTTTAGGAGCTTTTCATTTCCGTATGAATTTTAGAATTGGCTTCTGAATACATATTATTTTTAAAAAAGCCTTCTGGGAATTTGATTGGAACTGCATTGAATTTATAAATCAATTTGTAGAGAACTGACATCCTAACATTGTTGCATCTTCTGACCCATGAACAATATTTATCTCTCCATTATGCCAGGATTTCTCAACCTTGGCACATTGATGTTTTGTACCACATAATTGTTTGTTGTGGGGAGCTGTTCTGGGCATCATAGGATGTTTCGCAGCATCCCTGGCCTCTGCTCACTAGATTCCAGCAGCACAACCTCCCCGGCTCCCAAACCCTAGTTGTGGCAACACAAAATGTCTCTAGGCGTTCCCAAATGTCCCCTGGAGCAAAATCCTGGTTTAGAACCACAGCTTAAATATTCTCAAATTTCTCTAGGCAATAGCTTTTGGTTTTAAGTGTAGAAGCCTTACATATCTTTTGTCACTTTTATCCTTATTATTTTATATTTTTGGATGCTAGTGTAAATGGTAATTTTAAAATTTCAATTTCTGATCAGTTGTTG